TCACTTAGTATATTTCTAAATCGTGTTATCTCAAGATTCAGCCACTACCTGAGCATGCTTTACAAGTATCACGCAAGCAACCATGTGTGTGGAAGTGAATCTCAACCTTTTGTAGTTCTCATGCAAAATTAGAGTTGTATCAAGTCTTTTTGTAGCTAACTTTCCATTCATACTCACCATTTTTTTATTAACTGCTGATTTAATTGAGTTATTTGATAAAGTTTTAGAGCATCTATGCTTAACCATTCTGCTGTAGTAAATCTAAAAACAGTAGTAAATCTAGAAACAACCCTGCTATCAAATCTGGAAACGAATTGTTGACCGGGATGATAGAAGCAATTCAGAAAACAAATTTTTTGGGGATGACATGAAAATTATGATCCAAATTAGCGAGCCACGGGACATTGATTACCAAATTAGGAACACTCTAGGTGGAAGACTTATTCATTTTCCGCCCTAAATGGAGAAGCAACGACCAATATAAAATGAAAATTTACCTAAAAGAGGGAGAGCCACAAAATGGGAAAAAATAAAATAGACACAAGAGGGTTCTATTGGTATGAAACCAGAAAGGAAGAAGAAGAACACTAATTCATTAGTTGTTGACAACAGAAGGAAAAGAAAACCACGAAGGATAGATTAAGGCAAAGATGTGGACGTGAGAGATCAAAGGATTGGAACTTTCATTAAAGAACAACAACAAAAGCTTGATAACTCTTTAATCCTTTACTTTCATTTCTGATTTTATCGATTTTATATGATTAAGATGTGGATTACTCTTTTTAGTACAGTTTGTATGGAGAGCTAAAACATATAATGAAGACGGAAGAGTTTTATGTAGTTTAAGCATGTTGACGATGTGATATTAGTTTATCAAGAAATTTTTATTAACGATTTACATCATTAATAGTTTGTTTAATTCGTCACTTTACATACATAGTTGTTTTCTTATTTGAAAGAAGAGAGGGATAAAATTCTCTTTAATACTCTAGCTCCATTGCAAGGATACTCGAAAGTAATTAAAGGGCATAAATAATTATTCTTCGAGAGCATTATTAATAGAAATTAGAAAACGATTCTGGAAGTAATCATCATGCATGACCTCGAAAATGGGCTTGAAAATCTATTAAATGGAGCTAAAATCTACGATAAAGTTCAACAACTTATCTATTTAATTTCTCTTGACCCAACCTTCCTCCTTATGGTTGATGTTCTCGTTATTTTCTGTTTCTTTACACCCGTTGACATCCTTATGGTTGATGTTCTCATTATTTTATGTTCTCATTATTTTGATGTTCTCATTAAAGATAGGTTCGATGTATAATTGATAAATTACTTATTACTTACTACTTGTGATAGCGTATACTTGCACTTATTCTTGTAAATTTTACACCATTTTTACCTTCTCTGAGGGATCAAACTTATAATCCATTCAAAGGTAAATTCCCGTTCCATAGTGTCTGGACTTCCTCTCTTCCGATGGTGAAGGTGTGACATAACTTCTTCCTTTTTCTGTTGTCCTCAACTCCAGAGTTTGCTAGTCTACCATGATGGTTCCACATTCTTAACTTTGTGAGCAGGGACAACCATTAAGGTGGTCACATATTCCTATTAACCACAAGTTTATAATGAGCTTGAACCTCTACTCTAAAGTCAAGTTAAAAGTAACTTGTCATTTCTGAGGTGATCGGAATGTCCACTTTTATGATTTTAGAGATCTTTAACTTGGACTCCAATAAAACCTTAATAAAACCTTTGTAAGATTCGAGATTCGAAAAAAAATTTAAAATCTAATTTTACATTTAAAGTCAAATTTTGAATGGTTTTAGAGGCCAAATTTTGAGATGAGTACCGAGAGAAAAATGCTTAAAAATAAAGAAGGAATTCAAGAAAATTATAAAAGAAGAATGGTGGAAAATTAGAAATAGGGTCAAAGTCAACCCCTGAGTAAACTCGGTCATTCTCCCCTCCTTATAGGGAAAAGAAAAGAAAAGAAAAGAAAAGAGAACGAAGAGAGAGAGAGGTAACTGTTGCTCCGGCCACCACAAGGAGTCCATTCCGGTCGAGCCTTCTTCATGAAACCTTCACATAACCTAGAGGAGAAATATTCTGGACCTTTGAATCGTCCAAAATCATCAAGAAACGAGAAAAATTACAAGGTAGTTCTTGAATCTTTATTCTCGGATTTCCTTCAAATCTGCGGAAAAATATTAAGGTTAGAATCTAAAATTTGAGTATATTAATCTAGGGAGAATTAGGCTCATAATCTATGAAAGAAGTTGTATTCGATTTGGATCAAAAATAGGAGTTCCAACCTACATCAAAGAAGGTAGGTATTATTGAGAGTCTACAAGTAGGTGGCTTACTGAGTATAGTTTTTATACTTGTCCTAGTTTTCCTATCTTTTTCAGGTGTTCGCAGGCTACCGGTCGAGATGGAGGAGGATTCGAGAGTTGTGTGGTCACAGAGGGGGTTGTTCCAGAGCATTACTCTGTTTTATGTCATTTGGGAGTCTTTTGAATTTCCTCTTATATTTGGTAACCCGTTTAAAATATTTGAAATTAAACTTCTCTTTCCTCGGTTTAATTATATGATATTTTTATATATTATTCTACCTCTCTTTTAATTTCTTTTTAATTGTTTCTCTTTTGTTTTTTTATATTATTCTACCTCTCTTTTAATTTCTTTTTAATTGTTTCGCTTTTGTCTTTTTAGTCACGGTCTGAGTTTTGAAGCCTTGAAAATCAGCTCGTGACAACCTTATAGTCATGATCTCTATGACTCACTCTTAAGGTCAGTGAAACCGAATGACAAATGAGTCAACTTCATAAAGTGCTCGCAAAAACAAGCAATGTATACAAGAAATAATGGGGCTGAAACACTCATGGTTGGCGTGCACATTAATGACCTGATCGTTCCTGGTACAAGTCTGGATGACGTCAAAGAGTTCAAGCAGAAAATGATGAAAGAGTTTGAGAAGACTAATCTCGAGTTACTCACGTACTACCTCTGTATTGAAGTGGACCAAAGGAAAGATTGCATCATGCTAAAGCAATCGACCTATGCTAAGAAGTTGTTGCAGCAATTTAAGATGGTTGAGTGCAACCTGACCAAGTATCACATGGAAGCAAAGTTACAACTAGGAAAAGATACGGAAGGAAGCTTGGTGAATTCCACTAAGGATGGGCACGTCATCGGAAGTCTGAAGTAGTTGACTAATACTCGTCCGGACCTTTTATATGTTGTTGGAATAGTGAGTAGGTTCATGGAAAAGTCCACTATTATGTACCATCAAGTAGTTAAGCACATTCTTTGCTATGTGAAGGGAACCACAAGCTATGAGTTGAAGTATCAAAGATGGCAAAGTCCCGTAGAACTAGTCGGTTTTACCGATAGTTATTTACCTGGAGACATTGATGATAGAAAAAGCACCAAAGGAATGGCGTTTTATGTCAACAGAAAGTTGATCTCTTGACAATCTCAAAAGCAACAAACTGTGGTGCTATCTTCTTGTGAGGTCGAGTTCATGATAACAATTGCAGCATTGTGTCAAGCATTGTGACTGAGAAATTTGTTGAATGAAGTGAATAGAAGTGTACTAAAGCTGGTAACTCTCTACGTCGACAACAAATCTCTGATTACACTAATGAAGAATCCAATATTTCACAGAAGCAACAACACATTGACACTCCCTTTCACTTCATCCATGAGTGTGTTGAGAAGAGACAAATCATTGTAGAGTTCGTATGCACTAGAGAGCAACGTGCAAATATTCTAACCAAGGCCTTAGCAAGGTTTAGGTTTGCAGAGTTGCGAGAATTGCTGGGAGTGATGAATCTCGAACAAAGTCAAGTTTATGGAAGAGATTATAACCTAATAAATGACTTAGTAGAATAAGTTACTAACTTATGAAGTAACTTTAGGAGAATTATTAGTAGACTTAGTAGAATAAATTATAACTTAGGGAGAACTACAGAAGAATTGGTAGTAGTGGTTAAATTATGGACCAAATTTTATGGTTTAATTAGAAAGATTGTTAGTGGTTCTAAACTTAAATAGAAGGTTTAAGAAGCTAGTTAGTGCTCTATGAACTTTATAACTATAATTAATCAAGGGAAGTCAAAAATTCATTTTGAGGCTATATAAAATTATGATGTTGTCATTGTAAAATAGACTAGGAAAATGCGATAAAACGAGCATTTGTGCTTTCTTTTAGTCAATAACTAAGTTATTTGGTAATTTTATGTAGTTTAGGTTGCATGCTTAAAATGATTTGATCCATATTACTGGTGGAATTATTTGAATTTCAAACAAGTGTTATTGTTTTTAGGCAATTCTTTATCGTTTTGAAGTTTTTGGATACATTTAGATTAAGGTATTATAATTCAACAAGGTTGTTAGATCAAACTCTCGAGAGTTGTAATCATTTGGAATGAAATCAAATTGTTCTTTAGCCAAGAACTCCAAAAATGATATGGAATCAACCCAATGAAAAGTTTTGCAATCGATTAGATTTATGATTAAGAACAATAGTAAAAAAAAGTTGTTGATAAACCCTTGATTAGAATCACTCCACAAGATAGCCTAATCAAGACTACTTAAATGACTCTTATATGCAAATCTATACATAAAAAATGCAATGAAACAAGCTCATGGACAAGAAGCATAATATAAACTTTCACTCTTCTTACTAAAACAACACTAACCATATCTATTTATAGCTCGTAAAATAAATTTTGAAGTAACCTATGATGAATTAAAAGATTGTAATCCTCGTGTCCATCAATAACACAATGACCACTGACGAACTGTGACTTAAAATCCTAAATATAATAGTACTCTCAAAATGAAAACACAATGAAACATCTCTAAATCCTAACATGTATCATACAATTTTGTTCTTCCACCGAGAACAAAGAGTACATAGAAGAGCAATGAGATGCACGTAAACTTTTTCATCTGTATATATATTAAACCTAAGAACTTTTTAAAACAAATGATAAGATTAAAAGATTTTAGGCATATTATTAGTGTCCAATAAACAAATTTTACATATGTATTTGTAATAAAAGACTAATTTTTTATGGAAGATGAGGCCTCCCTTTGATGACTCCTAAGTGCTAATATCTGAAGCTATGCCAGTATGGCCACCAGATCATCCATGGATTTGAGTGTCTTTTCGTAATACAAATATGACTCATACACCTTGGGTGTGCGAATGTAATAATCCAACTGAAACACAAACCAAATTATTCTATGTTAGATGAACACGCCTCTCCACAATAGTATGATATTGTCCACTTTGGATATAAGCTATCATGACTTTGTTTTTGGGTTTTCTAAAAGGACTCACACTTTCATTCTTTCATTATAAACTTATAATCATTCCCTAAATTAGCAGATTCACACTTTTCTTCTTTAATTATAAATTTATAATCATTCCCTAAATTAGCGGGAATTACGGATAGTAGCATTTCATAATTCAAAACTGCCCTCTAAATTTCTACTTTATCTCACAAACAAATTCCAATGCATAATTTGTAAAAAAAAAATCAAATCAAATGGTAATTAAAGCACATACCTCGGCCATGTTATCGACCAACTCATTAGCAGTCTTAACATAGTCATTTTGGCGAGCTTGTGGCAAAACGGACATGGCAGTTTTCAAGTCTTGGGAGAGATAAGCCGACTTGAGACGAATGTAGAAGATGACATACCTCCACGACATGGTCTCTAGCATGTCGCGGATGCTGTGGAGTCCCTCCGCCGTCTGCCTTATCCTTGCTACTGCCTCCTCCCCCGACAGCCCCGGCTGGAAGTATCGCTCCTTAATGAACGAGTGGGTGCCCCAGGTTTGGGCCAGCGCGGGAGGTGCTGCAGCCTGCAGCCCGACCACCAGTGCGAGGGCGGTCGCGATGTGGCGGCGCTGGATGGAAAGGGAGGCGGAGATGATGGGGAAGGGGTGGCGGTGGCATCTGTGGGGAGTGGGAATGCGAGAGGAGAAGAGCGTGGTGGCGTTGGCGAAGGCAGGCATGGCTTTGGATAAACTTTAATTTCCTTATGGAAAAACACACACTTTGTGGCCTTACCTTACCTTACCTTCCTATCTGCTGCATTCATTCACAACCATACGTTTTATGTCTTTGTCCCATTATCTTTGTCGCTACCTTGTTTGTTTGTAAAAAGGGATCCGCAAACAATAATTCATTAAATTTGATCTACTTTTGTGGAATAACTTGCATGTGCTAAGAACATGAGCATATAAGGAAAGTGATTCGTGTGCAAATACATGATTGGGGTCTGGAGTATACTCACATGACATGGATACATGAAATACATTGTGTACCGTAGATAAGTTTGGAAATAGTCCGAGTCTATAGGCCATCGGTCTTATCCCTTCTAGTATTTCAAAATGACGGATAAACTTAGGGCTTAGTTCCCCTGAGCACCTTCTTTTGATTGCGGCATGGGTGATTTGCATCAATTCCAGCTGTTGTTTTCCCACTTCTTCCCAAAAGGAAGGGAAGTGACATCTCATCCTGTCTTGTAGGGGGCCCAATGGCCCTATAACGGTTATTATAAGCGAATTCCATGAGAGGTAGGTATTCATCCTAATGAGAGAGATAGGTATTCATCCTAATGAGAGGTAGGTACTCATCCTAACTTCCTGTGAAGTCCTTTACACATGCCCTTAGCATGTCTTCCAATACTTGGTCGAGCCTTTCTGTTTGACCATCTATTTGAGGGTGAAGGAATGTACTGGACTTTAACTACATGCCTAGTGCCTTTTGCAGACTTCTATTGATACAAGAACTCCATGTAATCGAACTATCTCCTCCATGTAGAGTTGGACCCACTTGTTTACTGAATAAGTAGTTTTGATATGAATCAAAAGACATCAATCATACACTATACTTCAATGAAGATGTGAAGAAAAGGTTGTCAAAATTATCAAAAGATGTTTCAATTCACGCCACATTGAAGAAGAATGAAGTTTGATTGTTATAAATTTTGGGTGGGTTACAATTTAGAGTAATTTAGAGTTATTGTATTTTAAAACATTTTATTTACTTTAGGTTACATTTACATAATGACTAATTATGGTCAGTATGAATGTTACAACTCTCGGAATGTCTTTAATAGTTTCATTTTGAGACTATATAAAGCCATGTATGTTGTATTTGTAAGGTAGACTTGGAAAATATAGTAAGAGAAGCATTTGTGCTTTTCTTTAGCCAATGACTAAGTTTCTTTGCAGTTCTATGTAGTTTAGGTTGCATGTAGAATCATTCAAGCTCGACATGATCAATCTTGCTCGTGGAGTGATTCGAATCTCAAACAAGTGTTCTTGCGTTGAGATATTTGATCAACAAGAATCATTCAAGCTAGACATGATCGATCTTGCTTGTGGAGTGATTCGAATCTCAAACAATGTTCTTGCCTTGAGATATTCGATCAACAAGGTAATCTGAATCTTACTCCTCTTGTGGTGGTTCCATATCTTATCATTTCATCTCTTGCCACCAATATTAAGATCTTTTAAGTCTTGATACATTTTGGTGCTTCCACGGTGGATGGCGAATGGCTAACTGTGGGCTTCTATGAGTACTTTCTTCATTAGTCCTTTGTCCTTGGATACGCACAACCATCCTCTCACAAGACGGTTAGCTTCTTGTTGTTGCAAGACTTTGTTGAGGTAAGGGTCATTTTTCGAGCATCAATTATACGCCTTCTTAGTGATCGTTAGTTGTGCCAGTCTCATTGTTAAGCCTTTAACTAAGAACTTGATGTCGGCCCCAAGCATTTCCGGCTTAAATCATCGGCTATAACATTGGCTTTTTCAGGATGGTACAAGATCTCTATATTGTAGTCCTTTACTAATTTCAACCATCTTCTTTGTTTCATGTCGAACTCTTTTTGCGTGAAAAGATACTTTATGCTCTGGTAGTCTGTATACACTTGCATTCTTTCTCCATATACATAGTGTCGCCACATATTAAGAGCAAACACCACGATTGCTAGCTCTAGGTTATATATGGGATAATTGCACTTTTATTCTTTTAGTTGGCAAGAGGTATATATGCTATCACTCTTCCATTTTGTATTAGTATTAGTACACATCTCAGACCTCTCCCTGAAGCGTTATAAACATCCTGTAATAGTCTGTTATTCCTAGAAAGCTTCTAACTTCTGTGACCGTAATTGGTTGGGGTCATTTCATTACTGCCTCAACTTTAGTGAGACTATGGAAATACATACCTTCTTTTGACACCAAATGTCTGAGAAAGGCCACCATAGGAAGCAAAATTCGCACTTAAAAAACAAAGCATATAGTTGATTGGTTCGTAACTTTGTCAATACCATTTTGAGGTGGGTTTCATGTTCCTTCTCGATCTTGATTAAATGAGAATATCATCGATGAAGATGATTACGAATGTGTCGAGGAAGTCCTTGAATACTCAGTTCATTAGGTTTATGAAGGCTACAAAGGCGTTAGTTACTCCAAATGACATCACTGTGAACTCGTAGTGTTCATACCTGCTTTTGAAGGTTGTCTTTGGTATGTCTTCCTCTTTGATCATTAGTTGATGATATCCTGACGTTAAGTCTATCTTGGGAAGCACTGATGCCCCTTGAAGTTGATTGAAGAGGTTGTCGATCATTTGGAGTGAGTACTTGTTCTTTATTGTGACCTTTTTGAGTTCCCTATAGTCTTTTCACAATCGAAAGGAACTGTCTTTCTTTTATACAAAAAGTACAGGAGCTCCCCACGGTGAGACACTTGGTCTTATGAACCTTTTGCCTAATAGCTCTTTCTGACCGGTTGGATTTCTGACTCGATCCCAAAGTCTATCTCTCTGATTGGGGTAGGCCTCATCTGTAAAGTCATTCTAAAAGTGCCTTACTACTAGTATGGAGGATATATATAGATGTTTGCTTGATTAGCTTTGGTAATGATGGCTAGGAACATTCATGCTCAATGTTTGATCAGCCTTTATGCTTCATGGCTGAGATTAATCTTGAGATGTCTCTCGAACATTCCTCTTTGTACTTTGATCGAATGAGAATGGATAACAGGCTCGTGGGATTGATGTGAGGGAGTGGGGATGGCTATATTCCTGGGAGTGAACTCCAGGCGAATATGAAACTTTCTCCAGACAGTGGTCTAATTGATACCTCCGTTGCCCGACAATCTATATAGGCATAGTTGTCAGCTAGTCAATCCATCTCTAAGATAACATCGAAGTCATTTATGTATAAGACTATCAACGTCATTTCCATGTGTTGTGATATAAGAATCTAGGTGCCCTTTACTTTATGAGTGGCTAAAAGGCCCAGTCCTAGTGGAAACAGTGTAGGGTATTTGTAAAGGTTTTATGTCGAACTTTGCCTGCCTAACGAATTCTTCTGCTATAAATGAGAATGTGGAGCCTGATTCGAATAATACATAAAGTAGCCAAGGATTGGAAGGGTACCTATTACTATTACATCAGGGTCCTCCAAACTTCTACCTGTGGGGGCGTGTGCCACGGCTCTAGCATGTGGTGGTGCTCCCCTTTCTCGCTAGTTTTCATTTGGATTTTGAAGTTTCTGCCTTTCCCAGACCTTACCTTCTTGCTTATTTCCCTGGTCCTTGTGGTCCTTGTGATGCAGGCATTCTACGATACAGTGTCCTCCCTTACCACATTTGAATTTGAAAGAGGCATTGGTTCCTGCTAGGCACTCGCCATCATGATGTATGTTATGTTGTAATGGAAACATAGGAGAGAGTAATTGAACATAAATTATGCTATTTTGATTAACTATCTGGTAAACTAAGGAAGAAGTTGATACAAAATTTGGAAGAATGAGAGAGTGGTGGAAGAATCAATGGCCACCGCCCATTGTTAAGGAGACATCAGACTGAGGTGGTGGGTCGGGGAGCAGGAAGATGGCACACATGGCGCTTGCAAAGGCCGCAATTCCACCCATCACGAACGCCGGTAAGTTCCCTCCCCCGAAGGCTGCGTCTAAGGGCCCACTAACTGCCGACACTAAAAGCTGTGGGATCACTATGAACAGGTTCAGGATTCCCAAGGACAGCCCTGTGCCCCGCCGGATTACACAAATACCCCTTCTTAGTCATTTATAGGTAAAGCGCCAAGGGAGGGAAGTAAGTTAGGAATTTGGTACCTACCTTGCCCCGCGTTGGAATTTGAAGAAAAGATGGATGCCAGCGCAAAGGGAACGCTGAAAGTGACCGAAAGTGGAATCCCCAACACTGCAAAGATTGAGAAGGCTCCAGCCCTGACGTTGGGAGGCGGATGGGCCAACCCATGAACCGACCTCCAGCGCTCTGCCACCGTTGTAACCACCACCATGCCTCCCATACAAACCGTAAATATAATGTTCACAATTCCCCACACCCACCTGAGCCCTCCTACAACACGGCCCACTGTCTCTATCCCCAAAGAGGATAACCCAAGCACAAAGGAGTTTATCATCAGCCCCAGCGCCCCTGCTCGAACACCCATCTCATACAACTTGGCTTCTTCCGGACTCCCTTTCGGCTTTCCTCCGTACACCTCCGCACCCATCCAGTCCGTGTCGTACATTATAAATGGGAACCAACCCACCCAGTTCAAGGCTGTCACCAGCATCAGGATCCACATGGGCCTCGACAACTGCTTCAGCGCACCCATCAACTGCCCAAAGAAGGGCGTTGATTCTTTGTCCATGTGTAGGGGCTCCCACGGCTTCTCACCCACCATCAACATCGCGAACGTGGTAACCGTGAGGAGCAACACGATGTCTATCAAGAAGCAGGTTTTGAGGTTGGCGCAATAACCGTCGCATGCTTCGGTGATTGTGAATGGAAGGAGTGTATGGAGTTGGCTATTGGCCCCAGCTGCGTACCCCAACACATTCCCTACGCCCAAGAAGAAGGAGAACAGCCCATTCGCCACTCTCATCTTTTTGTGGTTGTTGCAAGACATGTCTGCCAACAGGGCCCTACAAGGGCCTTGCAGCATGTTGTTAGCCACATCGAGAACCCAGAATCCAACCACGAATATGGCCACAGCCCTTGGCTTTGTGCCTTTGGCAAGCTCGTCCCCCGCGGAATGCCCAATGTCTGCAGCGAAGCCAATGAGGAAAACGGCAACCGCCACAAAGACAGCCCCAGCTACAATGAAGGGCCGACGACGCCCAAACCTAGAGGTGCAACGGTCGCTGTAGTACCCCACAGTGGGCTGCACAATGAGGCCTGACATTGGGCCGCAAAGCCATATGAAAGACGACCATGTGCGTGGAACTCCCAGTTGTTGTACGTAAGGTGTGAGCAACGAAAGTTGGAGAGCCCAACCAAATTGGAGTCCGGCTGCAATGGCCGCGACTATTATGATTTGTTTGTAGGAACTTGAAGGATGGGAGACCACGCCCTTGGCCTTCCTCACAGTATCTCCATGCTCCATGCTTGCTAGTAAAGATATTCCCTTGTTGCACTGATGAATGGTGAGGAGATTGGCGCTTGTTTGACACTTGTATAGCAATCAACCCTCTCAAAATTGGAAGCCATAAACAGAAATGTTGAAGAAGTAAGTTTAGGGGAACCAAGTGTTGTGTAGATCTGGTGTGGTCTCAAAATAAACTTAAATGATGCCTTTGACCTCCATTTTCTTTTTTTAATCCCAAATAGGATGAGGTTGTGGGACTTGTAGTTACCATTTGACAACGTGTGGCAAGTACCAAAAAATGATTACATATAATCATTAACTTCAAAATATTTTCAAAATATGATTACATTGCCTGTAAAATTATTACATGAAAGGTTTAAAAGACTCGAACCAACATACCCAAGACAAAAATAAATGGAAATCAAAACATGACTTTGATCTATTGCTCCCCTATAACTACATGATTGAGAATGCTTCCATCGTCAACTTGTTGCATTAAGATCCATCTAAAAAAGAAAAGCACCATACTTATACATATGTAGGGTACTAAACCCTGGTTAAGTCACTAGTTATCTAGGAATCACATTATCACATTTGTGTAGTGTAGCTCTTCGATGAGCTCTTGCACAGTGTTGAACATCTTAAATGACTCATTGACTATCCAAGACTAATTATTGAGATCTACAACTCCTAGACAAGCTTTTGTGGGGTATTGACCTTCTTTGATGAGTCACACGTTGTTAGAGGCTAATTACTAACATCGAAAACTCTCAGATGAGCTTTAGTAGAGTATTGAATCCCCTAGCTCTATGTTTGAGATTTTGATCCAATCGGGTTTTTACTGATTCATCTAACCCTCACTCTCTAGGTTTCAATAATCTGGCCCCTTAAGACTGCTCATCGCATCATAATGTCTCATTAACACGACTCTTCAGAGCACGTTGTACCCATCTAGGGTTTTTATGGGAGCTTGGGGTGGATTGGTTAGCGATGTTGTTAAGTGTTATTGCTTGTGTAATCAATCAATATGCATGCATCTACTAGAGAAAACTCTAATTAGTTCTAACTATTGAGTAGTTGGAACATTATGGGAAAGATCAGATTAGCTTAGCTAGTGACTCGGTTTGTTGTAGATTCCTTGACTCATCCATGCATTTGTTCTATATGTGGCATAAAGTTGAGTTTAATTGAGGGGCACAAGAATCTCCTAAATACCGTACCTAACTAATTTTGTGATTGATGTTCTAGTTCTTAATGTTAAAGTAGAAGGTTATATCTATATTCTTGGAGCTGGGTCTTCTGATTTCTTAATTTGTTGCCGTTGATCAAGGCCCACAAATATATCTTCATTGTACACATTTCCTGGTCGTGACCCATAAAGGTCATTGCGCCATTCAACCTAACAGGGTATCAGAGCCAAGGTTTATTCATTAACAATATTTATCATATCTTCTTGTTCCTCCTCCTTCTCCCCATCCACCATCTCCAACACGATCTCATCTACCATGGCGTCGACCTTTGCCCCAATACCTCTCCACCACACTGTCACAATCTGTCTCACCAAAAACAACTTCATCAGATGGTTAGCCCAGCTCCTCTCCTATCTACCGAGTACGAAGCTTATGGACTACCTCGATAAACCATTGTCGCACCGACCAAGCTGGTTCCTTTCTCAATTGCTGCTAGTGCTGACTTGGTATCTAATCCGGCCTATGATCGGAGGTAGGATCAGGATTAACAGGTCTTTAACGGCCTTCCCACTCCATGTCTAAGAAGATGCTTTGCGATGTGGTTGCCGCTACTATGTCCAAGGAGGCATGAGATACCCTACAGCAGATGTTTTCATCATCAACTCGCGCTTGCACTATTTAGATCCATGTTGAGCTCGCCACGTCCAAGAAACGCGATCTGTCTGCTGTAGATTATTTTTGCAAGATCAAAGCGCTGGCCGCCGCCAACTCTGCATTGTGGGATGATGACGTGATCATGTATCTCCTCGCTAGTCTTGGCCTGATTATGATCCCTTCGTCACCTTGATGATTACCAAGAGTGAAGCCTTCACGCTTGATGATGTGTTTGCACATATAATGAAGTTTGAAGCTCGCCAACTACAACACCTGGCTGAAATTTAGTTAAATCTTAGATCTTTGGCCAATTATGCTAGACATGGTGGTCAGCACATGAACCGTGGGTGTGGAGATCACGGTCGAGGTGGAGCGCCCTCTCGTCCTACGGTGATCGTCATGACCCTTCGGCTCGTCCTTTTTGCCAAATCTATGGCAAAGTGGGGCATACTGCTGCTCGTTGCTGGTATAGGATGGATGAGTGCTATCAAGATGAACCTCCTTCTGCGGCACTAGCGACTACTTCCTCCTGCAAGATTGATCCCAATTGGTACAGCAACACAAATGCCACTGATCATATCACCAGTGACCTGAATCATCTCGCTGTTCGTGAACGCTATCATGGAGGTGAACAAGTTTGAGTTGGCAATGGAGCAGGTTTGCAGATTTTGCATACCGGTCATTCTTCAATTAATACTACTGCTCATCCTCTTGTATTGCGTAATATTTTGCATATGTCTGAAATTTCCAAACATCTTCTTTTTGTTCATAAATTTTTCCATAATAATGACGCATTCTTTGAATAACATCCTTGCTATTTTTTTTATTACGGATCAACAGTCGAGGAAAAGTCTTCTGGACGGGAGGTGTGAGTCTGGTCTCTATTCTATCAAGCCATCTGATGTCGATGATCTCAAGCACGCCTTAGTAAGCAAATCTACTACTCACACTCAATGTCATGCACGTCTTGGACATCCTTCATCTCAAGTAGCAAAAAGTCATTAGTTACCACACTAGTTTATCACCTTTGGAACTGATTTTTTTTTTTTTTTTTTTTTTTTTTTTTTTTTTTTTTTTTTTTTTTTTTGTTTGTTTATGTTTGGGGTTTTGCACCTCTAGACGTTCAGTACTTTAAATATTATATCAGCTTCATTGATGATTTCAATAAATTTTCGTTGATCTATTTGATGCACGATTGTAAAGTTGAAATAAAGAAAAATAAAAATAAATAAATCAATAAATTGGCCCAAGCCCATGGAGGGGCAAATGTGTCATTTTGCCCCTCCACCTACTATAGGGGTCCAAGTGGAACCCTAATAGAGGCCACCAAAAAAGGAAGGGAAGACTAGGAGAGGGGTTGGGAGAATCGAGGAGCCGCCACCGAGACTTAGTCCAGAATCGAGGTGAGTTCTTGAATGTTTTCCAGATTCGAGACTAACCTTTATGAATCAAGACCTAATGTTTGAATCCGTTCATCTAGGGAAGCCGACATCGTGAAGAAACTTAGCAGAAATCTGGGAATAGTCTAAGACAGTAAGCGCACTTGTGTGGCTCAAATCTCGTGGCTCAAATCTCGTTCTATGTTGAGGCTAAAATCACGAAAAAAAATATCAAGACATATTCCTCAACACGATATAGAACTTTTCCGAAGGAACCATATTGATTTGAGCTCCGGATCAAAAGATGTGAAAATTGGAAAATGGTGGATCGGAAAAGGGCTACATATTATAGGAGAGAGAGAAAAGAAAACAAAAAAGAAAAAGAAAAAAAGGGTGGCGGGCGGCAGAACACGGCTCGGCAGGCGGCGACACGCATTGAGTGTCGGCTGGAGCGACGCAGCTCTAGCGAAATGATGACGCGTGTCATCAATAGGAACCAGGCCGAACCGTAGTGAATCAAACCATTGGCCGAATTGACCCGACTCGCGACTGCTTGAAGCAGTCCGCGCATGGTGGTCGTGGGTGCAGCCTGCGACTAGCGCCTTTCCTGTGCGTGGCTGGCGTGTGGTCGGCGCATAAGGGCGCGTGGGAGGCTCGTTTTTCATCCGTTTACCTTCTGTTTGTCCTTATTCCTATTTTAATAATATTTTTATATGAATAAGGACCTAATCAAGGATTATCAGTGTTTTTGGACACCTTACAAGCACAGACGCGCTAGCGAAAGGGCACGCGTCAACCAAGTAGGTCACCACACGGAACTTAGGAAGAAATACTTGGAATCGCCTTAGTATGCATGCATGCTAGATTAGTTTCCTTATGTGATTGGACTTTTCTATGTTGTGAGCTTAGGTTGCAAAGTACATGTTGTATGACCAATTATATATGCTTCCATAATAAGTTAAACATGTTTTATGCTTCCGCTTAGTGTGTAATTTTTTATGCATGCTGAAAGAAGGATGGGTAAATTGTGAACTCTGCGTTCCAGGTGTTGATGGACGTTATCACCCCGTTGAGCATAATTGCCTATTTTTGCATAAACGGTATAATTTATATGATTCTTGATGTTTGCTCCCTCTTGATAATGTTTAGAAAACGTTATAATGTCTAGTAAACGTCTTAGGAATGAGCCTAAGGATCTAGGATTAGAGTGACCAGTCACTGAGCCTAGATCAATCCCTCCCCTAGGAGCTTAGCAGATCACCATGGTAAACGTTGTACCTTAGGGATGTTTTTAAGCTGCTAGTTGTCTAAACGGTGTCTATAGTTTCGTGGGAGGACCAGAGGTCCCGTTCAGTTCTTACATATCCTAGTCGTTTCGCATGGGAAATGTGTCCCCACGTAGTATAGCCCATTAGCTGCATGGGAACGGGTTGGGTCGCGCCCCCATAGGGGGACTATTATGGGCTTAGGGACTCAGCACACCCCTAGGCAAGATACCATGTAGTCTCTGTTAGTCATGTGGAGGCAGCGTCTCGTAGAGAGATACCGGTCAATCCAACTTAGCATAAAGAACTCTTATGTACTAAATGAGAGGACGAAGAACAATAGAAGTCCCAAGGGCCTAAGATTAGAACCGAACGTCCTAGAGCTAATGAGAAACTCGTGATTGACTATTAAGCTTAGAATGCAATGAGAGCCTACAAGTAGGTGACCTACTGGGTATAATTTTATACTTATTTCTGCTATCTCTTTTTTTTTTTTCAGGCACGTGGGCGTTGGGCTGAGGTAGGGTGGATCAGAGGGTGAATTGTCACAGAGGAATGCATGTCCCGGGGTGTCAGTCCAGTCTTTTCTTTTGCATTTAGATTTTCACATTTTTTTTTTTTTGGAACTTTCATTTGTTTGAATCTTTGTATTGAAACTTTCAGTCATAGGAATAAATGATTTCACCTTTACACCTTCTCAACTTTTTCTTTGCATACACACTGACTTTTGAGTCACAGCTCATAGTAAAATATCGGATCGTGACAATGATCGTACAGAAGCTCCTCGTATACTTTTGCAGTTTCAAGCTCATGTTGAGGGCCTCCTGGATACTAAAATCAACTGTGTCTAGGGTGGGGAATGTCAGAAAAATCATAACACATTTTTCATTCTTTTGGAATTTTTCATCGTATTTCATGCCCTCACATGCATCAACAAAATGGTTATGCTGAACACAAGCACCATCATATTGTTGAAACTGGCCTAGCCCTTCTAGCTCATGTTGATCTACCTATTAAATTTTGGGATGACGGGTTTCTTACAGCACATATCTAATTTGTTAAAATGAAGTAGATGTGGAGAGGGGAGACAAAACTGTGAAGGAGATGTCTAGAGGGGAGAGACAAGGAGACAAGCCTTTTTTCTATTATAGGGTACTTAAATGGACAATTTATCTTTCTCTTTCTTTTTTTTTTTTTTTTTTTTTTTTTTTGCTTTACAAGTGAAAACAAACTAGGTTTTCTAAAGGCTAAAATTGGCTATCCCATTTACTTTACACCCTAAAACAAACTAGGTTTTCTAAAGGCTAAAATTGTATGCATGAGAACCAATTCCCACTATTCCTTAAATTGGTGCTCTCCAATATTTGTCTATGACACGTCTTGATATCTCCTTCTGTATCAACAGAGTGTGCCAGTTCATGTTCTCCCCGACTACTGTACATGGGCGGCAGTCAAACGGATTCTCCGTTATCTACATGACATTATTGACATGGGCTTGTGTTTTACAAAGTCCAACACTTATTTGTTTATTTCCTTTTCAAATGTTGATTGGGTCGGGAATCCTGATAATCGTTGAAGCATTGGTGGCTCTGCGATTTTCTTTGGTGGCAATCTTATCTCCTGGAGTAAAAGGAAACAATCGACAGTTTCTCGTTCTAGTACGGAGGGTGAATACAAGGTGGTTGCTGATGTCATTGCAGAATTAATCTGGATCCAAGTTCTCTTGCGTGAGCTCGGGATTTCACAAGCACGAGCGCCTAGCCTGTAGTGTGACAACATTGGTTACAACCTATTTGTCCATCAATCCAATCTTTCATTGACGGACGAAGCATGTTGAGGTTGATTATCACTTTGTTCGTGAATGAGTATCGACTCATCAGCTTGATGTGCAGCTCATATCTTCCAAGGATCAACTCGCCGATATCATGACAAAGCCATTGTCAGCTCCATCTTTTAGCAGTTTTCAGTGCAATCTGAACTTAGTAGTACATTGTTCAGATTGATGTGGGTATTAAACATAGAAGGTTATATCTATACATAGTAGGAGAATCCTCTATTCTTGGAGCTGCGATTTCCTTGTTTGTTGTCGTGGATCAAGGCCTACACATCTAATCATCATTGTACACATCTCCTATATATATATATATATATATATGGAGTTGTGTGACCCATAGAAGTCAATGCGCCATGCAACCTAACACTTAAGCCCCAAAATCCACTTTATTGTTCTCGAATGAGAACTGCTCAACTCTTGATCCCTTGATGAAATTTGTTCCAAATATTTCTTTAAAGTTGTAGGAACAAGATGATCTAATTCTTAAGTCTTCATGTAGGGGAAGAATTTCTTGAATGAAAATCTTAATTCTTACCCAAAGTTTTTTTTCTTTTCTTTAATATCAAGCTTCCCCTCAAAATTAGTTCGGTAGAACTTTATTGATAAGAATCACAGTGTTTCAAATGGACCTATTGTCAAGAAGATTAAAAAAAATGTTGATTAAAAAATGACAACAACAAAATTCAAACTTACGCGCAAAGAGCTCCATTGATTTTGAACCTATTGCATTAACCACTCAAGCACATCAACATTTGATAGAAAGAATTATTTTTAATTTCATAATTATGTAAAAGTCAAATGGTCAATTTGACTCATTCTTTCATGGAGATTAAAGGGGGATTGGGAATAAATCTCATTCACAAACCTCTTTTGTCGGGAGACTATAAATACCCACAATATGTTATGTAAAATTCAGATTCGTGGATGAATGTAATTCAGATCTCAAATTGAGACGTTTCCCTTAGAAATTCGAGCATCATATTTGCCATTTCTAACTTTCAAGCAATTCTTGTGGTAGAATTGCACCTGAACCATTCAATCAAGTCTTGATCAAGTTAGATTGTGAAGTGACTCAATTTAGAACAAGGTTCCAAATCTTGCTTCTAGAACTTCGATCGTAAGAGATAATCTAATTCTAGCCTTATCTCTTGGTTGAACCAAATTTCGTATAAGGAGGTGTTAATTATTTTGATTCAAGGATTCTTGCTAAAACAAAAATTTGGATCGTTGGGCTGAGGATTATGGTTGCTTATCAATTTGGTATCAGAGCGTAGGTTGCATCTTTGTGGCCGACTCTAGAATTGATTTTATCTTTAATTTTTGCTATTTTTTATCGTTTCTTTAAAGCTATCATTTATTTTCTTACTCTCATTTCCATCGTTCTTCATTATCTTTCTATTTGTCCTTAGCATCTTCTTAAAGATCATATTTAGATCTAAAAAAAAAATAAAGCCCATTATCATACTACTCTTAATAAATCCTTATTATTAGATCATTTGCATGTTTATTTGGAGATCAAATAAATTTCAATTCTCATTTTTCCCTAAATCATATAAATCTGGAATTATTGTGTTCGATATTCATGACCATTCTCTTTGGAATTCTTTTTTTCCGTGTGCAATCATATCCAAAAATATCTTTGTCTCTTACTTGTTTGTTCACTCCTTGTTTTATTTTGTTATTACTTCATAATTAACTTATCTTGATTACCTTGAATAGCTTGCTACCATCAGAATTACTTTACCCATATATTAATACCTTGATCATAATTTAGTCACTTTCCTAAACAACCTACCTTGGTGTGTATAAACACGAATGTTCTTGAGTGTAAAATCAGTGAGTTGAGTGTCTGAGGTCCTAAACATATTTCACTACTGTTTGTACAATCATGAATCAAGACGAGGAAAATGATGGGGAGATCAATGATCTAGTTGAAGAAGTCCAGAAGAATGAGGAGGAACTGGAAAATGGGATTCATTTGGCACTTATAACAAGAAGACTTGTTAAAACTCAAGTTACGGAGAATGATGTTGATGATCAAAGAGACAACCTGTTCCACACACGGTGTTTCATCAAGGGAACTGCTTGTAGTCTTGTCATTGATAGTGGAAGTTGCACCAATGTTGTAAGTACCATGTTGATCAAAAAGTTACAAATTCCAACCCAAGATCATCCTATACCTTACAAGCTTCAATGGCTCAATGATAGTGGAACAATGAAGGTAATTTCCCAAGCTTTAATATCTTTTACTTTGGGAAAATATAAAGATGAAGTTCTTTGTGATGTGTTACCTATGCAAGCTGGAGACATATTGCTTGGTTGACCATGGCAATTTGACAGGAGGGTTATGTATGATGGCTCTTTGAATAGGTATTCTTTGGTAAAAGATGGTAGAAAAACCACTCTTGTACATTTGAGTTCTGAAAATGTATTTGATGATCAGTTAAAGTTGGAGGAAAGAAAGAAAGAGATTGAGGAAAAAGAGTAAAAAGAAATACAAGAGTTGAGTGAAAAAAATAGAGAAAAATCAAAGAGAAAAAAATAAGAATGAAAAAAGAGATGAAATTGAAGAAAAAAGGAAGAGAGAGTTATTTGGCTATAGTTAGAGAGGTGAGAAGGTTTTCACAAACATTGATCTTTGTACTTATGTACTATGGAGGATTTTCCGTCTCTAACTATAACAACTTGGCTTTGTCTAGTATTTTTCAATTTCGTTTACAGGAATTTGAAGACGTGTTTTAAGATAAAAAAATATCTCCCATTAGAGGTACTAAACATAAAATAGACTTCATTCCAGGGACTGTCATTCCTTATAAGCAAGCTTATTGAGTCAATCCAACCGAGACAAAAGAAATTCAAAGGCAAGTGGAGGAGCTCATGGAGAAGGGCTATGTACGAGAAAGTTTGAGTCCATGTTCTATACGAGACTTATTGGTGCCAAAGAAAGATGAAACTTGGCGCATATGCATGGATAATAGAGACATCAACAAAATCAGGGTAAAGTATCGACATCCTATTCCTAGGTTAGACGATATGCTTGATTTATTGCTGACGGTGTTAAAATAACACATGCGAAAGCAATTTGGATCTTAGGCACTCTAAGTACATCAATTATAGTGAATTAGCTAGCATGTTCAAAAGCATTAAAATTCAATGAGTTTGAATACTAACCTTTTGTCCCTCAAGTTTCTTTTTCCTCACGAACCGGTTTCGAACCGACACTATTGTCTTCTTCACTATTCTCCGGCCTTAGAATGGGAATGTGGAATTCGGTAAGTGACTAAACTTGGAATGGAATTAGTATATATGAAGAGAGAGTTTGTGAGAGGTTTTTCTCAAGGTTTTTTCCAAAAGCCAACCTTTCATCTACCATGATCACTTTATTTAGAGAGTCATGTTTACATGTTCTTGCAAATTTGAGATCACCAAATTTTGACACTCAAAATTTCACTCAAATGTTTGGGATTATGTGGCAAGCATGCATGCTTGAGTTCACCAAATTTTAACACTCAAAATTCCACTCAAATTTGTGGGGTTTATTTGGCAAGCGTGCAAGTTTGGTTAAACCAAATTTTGATACCTCAAAATTCTACAAACATGGATTTTTCCATTAAATGAAGTCAACATTTTGACTTTCTTCATTTTTATTCAACAATCCATTTGAATTATCAATTTCAAATTAAAGTAATATTAAATGATTAATTAAACTAAATTAATATTTAATATTAATTCAAATGTCAATCTCAATTAATTCCAACACATATTTGATTAAGATATTTAAATCTTATTTAAATATCTCAGATTCTCTCTTTTTTGTTTAATTCGTAAACAAAACAAAAATGCGGTTCAAT